GGGGAGGGAGGAAGGGGGGGGGGGGAGGAAGGGGGGAACAGAACACGGAGATGTTCGTGTGTATTTTGCCGGGAGGCGGCGGACAGTCCTCGTCGCAACTGCCCGAAAACAGAAAGCCATTCCCTGACGCCAACCTCCCTTTTCTTCCTCTAAATCCCCTAAAAGCAAAAACGAACCCCAAGCAGCTCCCGCCCCACACCCTAACGGCTATAACACAAACACATACACACATGTGCACATACGCACACATGCACACTCTTCCCTCCACTTCCTGCACACACACACACACACACATCCGTCGCCCAACACAGTGCCCATTGTCCGTCACGTGCGGCACACGCCCGACCCGATTGGGTTCCCTTCACAAATCCTCTGTACCGACAAACCACCACCACCACCACCACCACCACCACCGCCACCGCCACCACCACCACCACCACCACCAACACATCCTTCAAGACAGCAGCAGCAACAAAAAAACAACAAAAACGCAATCACAAACACGACAATAATAACCAACAGCTGCAGCACCAGCACCATCACCACTGCCACCCAACTCACATCCGCGTCCAGCACGGCCGTCATCTTGTGTGTGAGGTCCCGCCACCGGGTCAGGAACTCCGCCAGCAGGTGGTGGTCGGACAGCAGCGGGGGGAAGCCAGCCAGCACAGGGTCGGCGGCGGACACGAAGGGGCCGCCCTGCCGCGCCAACGTCAGTGACAGGCTCATGCGGTAGGCGGCGAGGGCAGTGCCCAGGTCGTGGGTCGCCAGCATGGTGGGCGGCATGTAGCTGCCAGGGAGTTAGGGCGGGAGGCGGGGTGGGATAAGATAAGATGGACCACTGGCAATTGGAGCAGATATACCAGAGATAGACGGATATAGTCCAGGAGAAGACAAATGTGGGGGTGGGGGATAAAGGGGAGGGTGTTGGGGGGTCGGGGAGAAGGGGGAGGAGCTAGGGAAGCACGTTGGGAGGGAGGGAGGCAGGCAGGCCGGGGGGACGGGGTAAGGGGGTTGGGGTTTGGGCGGGAGGTTTCAGGGGGGGAGAGGGCAGGTAATATACGTATTGATATACGTTTTGTAGAGCGGAGGGGTATTAAGAAGTACGGGGTCGGGGCGCTTCAGTACAGTACGGTCCGTGTCGGCTGGCAGTAGCACCAGCATCACCAGCACCAACGCCAACACCAAACACCACAACGCGCCAACACCTTCTTAATACTCATTCGAACGAGGGAAAGATCAGAGCCGACACAGGGCCTTGTGCCTTGCGCCCGCCTGTCACTTTTTCTGACTTTCCTTTTCTTTACCCTCCTGGGACTCACGCGTGCGGCACCAGTGGCGGCTTCCCCGTGTTTAGCGGCCCCACTCGGAACTGCAGTACGGGGCTCTCCCGGGGCTTGAGGGCGGTGCTCCAGAAGGAGGACTTGCTGCGGGAGGAGGGAGGGAGGGAGGGGAGGGAGAGAAGGGGAAGAGAGGGTTGCAGGGAGGGGAAGAAGGCAACAATCAGGGAGGGGAAGAAGGCAACAAGCCATGCACTCTACGCCTCCCGAAAGTCTCCCGCGCCATCACGTCCAGCCATCCGCCCAACCGTTTGTCACATACGCGTACATACGTACCACACAGCAAAATCCCATCCCTACCACCTTACCCCGCCCCACCCCCCCGCCACGCCCACCCCGCACACAAACCGAACCCAGTCCAACCCAACTCCCCTCTACCACCGGCAGCCGACCTGCGCTTCTCTGCGTAGAATGCCGCCATCGGCTTGGGGTCGTATATGGACCCGTAGTACAGCGGTACGGAGATCTCCACCTCCCGGGTCAGAGAGGTGCACTTTTTGAAGCTGATCATGGCCCAGCACGTGGTGATCTCATCCAGGAGTTGGGAACACTGGCGGCAGGACGGGCGGGCGGGCGGGTATGCGAGAGAGGAAGAAAGGCGGAAGGTGAGAAAGAGGAAAAATTGACAATGCAAACCCCAGAATGGGCAGAGGGATCGGGGCGGAGGGCGGGATAATGGATAATGGATCACATATTAGGGAAGAGAAGGCGCCGACGGGGGAGCGGGGTTAAGAGGGCGCAGCAGAGGGGAATACGATGTCGTTGGAGGGAAACATGGTTGGTGGGAAATATGGTATAACATGTATAACAAAGAAGGCCGGGGGGAGGAGGGGAGGTTGTAGCGCCACGGAGTTGAAGCGGCGCCAACAAACGTTTTTGCGATGGTCGGAATGAAGAAAAGTATTTTTTTTCAGTGGAGGGTCGGATGTTGTGATGTTGTCATTGCTGTCAAGTCGATGGTGATGCCGGGGCGGCCGTCATGCGGGTGGTGATGAAGGCAAAGGTGAGGAGGTAGAGGAGCGTTCAGTGTAAAGTTTTCGTTCTCGTTTCTTTTTTTTCCTTTTTCCTTTCTACGGACGACACTGACGGACCTTCTGTTCGTTCTGCGGCATGTTGATGGTGTCTGGTACGGAAAGCCTGTACGAGATGCTGAACTCCACGAACACGGACAGTGCGTCCTCCGTCACCAGCCGCGTTCCCGCTTGCGGGTCGGACTGCAGCCCGGTGTGTATCGGTGCGTGCGGGGTCGGGAATGGAGGTGGGGAGTTTACAGGGAAGGGAGGGAGGGAGGCGAGGGGCCAGTAAGGAAACAGGGTTTAAGCAGCACGTGTCCTTTCCCAGTAGTGCAGTGCACTGTACGGGAGTCCGTTGTGGCCCCCGATGGCCCTCTACCACCCTTCTGCTGCTCGGGTATTTATACCCTTGGGGTCTATCCGGGGGGCTCTCGCTGTAATACCTACTACTACTACTACCTACTACTACTACTACTACTACTACTACTACTACTACTACTACTACTACTACTATCTGCCATCCTCTCCGCCTAGGAGAGAGGAGGTACAAAGGGGGGAAGAGGAAAAAGTGGCTCGCGGGAGGGGTGACAGGGAACCAGAACACGGGGACAAGACCCCAGCAAGAACCCCAAACTCCCCCTCCACACATACACGTACACCTGCACACCTGCACGCAGCCGCACCGCACGATAACCCGTTCCTCTGGGTTAAACTCCCAGCGCTTGTCGTACTGTGACACGGCCTCGGGTCGCAGACCCAGCACGTTGCCCAGGAAGCGATTAGCGCGGCGGTCGAACAGCGCCAATCGGGCGATGAAGAGGCATGGCAGCCGCGAGCGCTGGAGGCCTTGATGCGGAGGTTGAGGTGAGATGGGGGTCGGGGGGGTGGGAGGTGTATGGTAAAAAAATATGGTGCGAGGGGTTTAAGGTAAACAAAACACATGTACTGATACTTCAACCACAGCAAACACATGCATGCATACATACATATATACACACATGCCACCACGCATATATGGTCTTGCTCACCCGTCTTGCCCACCCCGTCCGCCTGCACCAGCGACAACCCGAACTGCCACACGCGGCTGTTCTCTGGCAGTAGCGCCCCGTCGGGCCGGTAGTTGAAGTCCACAAAGCCCTGACCGCCCGGGTCCAGTACCGGGTCCAGCAGCTTGCGTAACCTGCATGGCGCGAAATGAAAGGCATAGCACGTGGTGGATAGCGTGATGGAACACACAGCACATGGCATGGTTCACCGGTTCACCGCACATGGACAGGAGAGCTCAGCACGGCGCAGCAAAGGGAACTCACAGCACGCAGCGCCATGTAGCAGCGGGGTGGGGGTGGGGGAGGAGAAGGAGGCTTGACAAGGAGGGTTAGACCTTACTCGGGGGGCGATGCGGATGGAAAGCGGGAGTGGGACCGGCACAGACCGGCGCAAAGAAAAAAAGAGGGAAGAAAAAAGTGACAGACAGGGTAGAAGGTAGAGGCGGAGGAAAAAGATGGTGGTGGCTTCCCTCCTAACACCCAAACACCAGCAACACCAAAATGTCCCTTTCAACTCAACGTACATACCGGTTCTGGCCGCTCTTTAGTTTGGCTTGTAGCAGGGATGGTCGGCAGTTGGGCGGCAACCGCTTGTCAGCTGCGGCTCGCTCCAAGGCGGCCAGGTAGGCCAGGCGCGGCGGGTTGCTGGCCTCGATCAACTTGTGGCGAACATCCTCTGGTAAGGGGGGTTGAGAGGGAACGCGCAGCGCATGTGTGTGTGTGTGTATATAGAAAGGGTGGGAAGGGAGAAATGGCATTTTTGTTTTTTTGGGGGGCCATTCTTTGAGGAGCAGCCATTTGTTTGCTGTGTAACTTCTGTGCCCCGCGCCTCTACCAGGCTACCACCCCCGCCGGTGCCTCAGCTGCCACACCTCGTGCCACACTTCTCTGCGGACAACCCCCTGCCGCGACCTTTTCCTTCAATCCACCACGGCCCCCCTCCCCCCTTCACCTCTATTTACTTCCTGAACCATGGCTCAGTGACTTCATCATCATCGCTTAGGACTCACTGGGGGCAGTTTCTTACAACCTTGGACGCCTTCCGGCAGTCAGGCAGCTCATGTCTGAATCTGTTTCCTCTTTCTTGCGTATGATTCCCCATCCCGCATCTCCTGCCTGCCAGTCTGCCAGTCAAGCCAACCCAAGTCAGTCCCAAATCAAACTAAGCCCCTGGCGCCCCCCCCGAACCCCCCCGTCCCCCCGCCCCGCCCCAGCTGCTGGTCACTCACTCAGGTCGACCACCTTGGGCACGGTGCCCTGCTTAGCCAGGTCCATCATTATTCGTTCAGCCTGACGAGCCTCCAAATGGAGCCAGCGCTGCTCGTCCGGTACTGCAGCAAGTTGCTGGGACAGCTGCTCCAGGGACACCGTGCCGTCCAGAGGACGAGACCAGAGCTGCCGAGGGGACGGAACGAGGGCGGGAGAGGGGGAGTGAGGGGGCCGCAGTCGCGTTGGGAGAGGGGTAGTAGGTAGGTTTGGGAAGAACACCCGGACTCGGCGCCCGGGTCCCATATATTTTCTGTCGAGGTATACCGCCACATAGCAGAAAATGATGTTGTGGTGTTGGGGGTAATGGTGTTGGCGGTAATTGTGATGATGGGAAAAGGGAGAAAGACGTATGTGCATGAGAACGGCTGGGAAGGAAACAAGGCGCATGCAAGCCCTCCAGCAAATGTAAAAGCCCTCCAGCAGGATACCCTATCAGCGCCACCACCCTCCGGGCAGTTCAAATGACCAGAACGGCGAGAACGGCGAGAAGTAGAGGACCCGGATAGGACCCCTGGGGGGCCACTATCCGGTGCATTGCGTTTCTGGCAGTAAGCACCCCAGTAAGCCCCACCGGCACCCCCACCCGGTTCGTACCTGCGTCAGCTGCTGTTGCTGGCTTCGGATGTCGCTCTCCAGGCCGTAGCCCTCACCCTGCTGCAGCTGCTGCTGTTGTTGCAGCTGTAGCTGCGCGGCAAGCGCATGACCGCCGGCATGCACAAAAGATCCCGGCATTATGGACCCCGCCGCTAACATTGGCGCCGCCACTTCCGCGGCTTCAACTTCCTCCTCCAACCCGTAGCGTCCTTGTTGAGGTGGTGGTAGTGGTGGTGGCGGCAGTGGCGGCAATGGCAGTGGCGGTGGCGACGGCCCCCTTGTCGCCAGCTCCCCGGCAGCGCTTGCCACTTCCCCGGCGAGGCCATATCCACCAGACGGCCGCCGCGATGGCGGCCGCGACACGGCGTCCTGAACGTCGCGTTCCAAGCCGTACTCGCCCTCCATATACCGCCGCTGAGATGGTGACGGCGACGGCAACGGCGACGGTCGAAGCGGTGAAGGCGGGAGGGGCTGCTGACGCGACGGCGGCAGCGCGCTGCGAAGCTCGACCTCGCTGGAGAGCCCAAACGCGGACTGCGGCGGCGGCCGGCTTGCCGGCAGGCCCAGACCGGTGGGCCCCGGTATCGGATCAGCTGGATCCGTAATATCTCGCTCGGCGGCCTCGGCCGCTAGCCCAAATGCGCCCGGGTCTTGAAGGGTACGTTGCGAGCGAAGGGGGGATAGGCCTGGACCTGTGCGAGGCGGCCCCAGACTGCCGCTGCTGCCCAGGGGTGCGAGGGGTGCGCCTGAGCGGCTAAGTGTCCGTGAGGGCAGCGGTGGGCCTAAGGGTGCTATGCGGCCGGCTGATGGCTGGGAACGGACCGCGTCCGCTTCAAGTCCGAAGCCGTCGGCGGACTGGTGCAAGCCGGTGAGGGGGTTGGCAGGGGAGGGGAAAAAGGGTTGGTGGTGGCGGCCGCGGCATAGTTTTTTTGAAAAGCTGCCGGGACGTGTGGGTCAGAACAGAGCCAAGACAGGGACACGACTGGCCTGCAGAGCGCGAGGTGGACAGCGGACACGGTGGCTTGCCCATACGCCGGCACCAACGGACCGAGACGCACCATCCAACCCGGCCTTGCACCGCCGTTGGACCCACCTGCCGTTGTGGAGGGCCCTGCACGTCGAGGCGCTGGAGCTCCGCTGCGAGACCCACGGCCGCATCAGCCGCAGCCTCGTTGGCGAGGCCAAAGTTGCCGGTGTTCCCTACAGGGCAAACGGGCAGTGAGGCTGTGCCATGCTGTGCAGTCGTGCTGGAATGCAGTTGTGGGAACGGGTCAGGTAACTAAACGCACCCCTCCTTGACGAACTTCGACTTTGCATTTGTGGGGTCACCAGCGGAGATCTACGTAGCAGGGTTGAGGGAGGGTTGGTAATGATCCCTTGTAGTGCGACATGTCAGGGTGGAAAGTTGTGGTGCAACCTACCGCGAGGGTCGATGGGATGTGCGGAATTCACCATCTTCATCAAAGTCTTCGAGCTCCATTTTAGCTTGAAAACCTTTCCAACTAGCTTTCTTTACCTTGTCCGATGTACTCGTTGACTTCTCCCAAACAAAGCGTTGCGCTAGATCCAGCTATTCATTATCTCTTCCCATTACACAGGCGGCCCCATGCTTAATCCTGTACCAAGAAAGCTTATTGTGGGGAAGTTACCCCGAAACCAACAGCTGCAGCCCCAGTTCTACGGCTCGGAGCTTGCTAGCTTCCATAGAAGCGCAGCTTTGTATTCTGCATGCAGTTGTCAGTTCAATTATGGTACCGCTTTCGGGTGCATTGAACCTGGAACCCGCCGTACCCCTGCTTGACTTGATACACGAGATACACGAGACTGTATCCGTCTCGTAGTTTGCAGGCTTTTCTTTGGACTCATATTTGTTTACCTGGTGTTTTGTGAGTTATCTGTTCCTGATAGAGGTATTGCAAATAGACTACTGGCCGCCGGCCCAGTTTGTAGAAAGCGACAAAGATGGCGACGAAAATACAAAAGATCATGACCCAACCCATCAACCTGATGTTTCGCTTCTTACAGAGCAAACAAAAGGTGCAGATTTGGCTCTACGACCAGGCGGACTTGCGAATAGAGGGCCGCATCATTGGCTTCGACGAATACATGAACCTGGTGCTGGATGAGGCAGAAGAGGTGTCAATGAAGCGCAAGAACCGCAAGACGTTGGGCCGGATCCTGTTGAAGGGCGACAACATTACGCTTATACAGACAACGGGACGTTAAGGGGCTAAGCCCTCAGAGGCAGCGGGTATAATATTAGTGCAACGACTTGACTTTAGACGACAGGAAGGGTTTCGGTGATGGCGGTGACATCTTGACCTCGTTTCAGTATGGATTGCCTTTGTGACATTGACGACAATAGATGACTCGGTGCAGGTATGTTGGCATGTTACCTTGGAGCCCAGGTTAGCCAAGGGGCAAAGGTTCTCCGGAGTACGACATTACTTTGCTGGGAGTTGCCTGGTGGCGCGTCCACCTAAAGGCTGGTCGGCGGTGAGATTGTGATTGGGGCATAAAAAGATCTCCACGCGATCTCCGTAGACGCGAAGCAGGTCAGTATGCACCAGCACGTGGCTTAGATCGTCAAAGCGGAGCAAACCGCAGAACGCGAGCACTGCGCCTGTGACGACCATTCTAGTGAGCAAGGGCACACCTTCGCGGATATTTTATTCCACCAGTTGCGACACTTCCGTCGGGGTTGCGACGTCTAAGTTCCTGGGGTTTGCCGACAGCGTCCGATGGGCGACTTCCCGGACTCCGGCACACAAGGGATGTATGCATGGGGTAGGCAAACCTGCCAGCTCGTGAAAAGCGGACACCGCCACGCTGGCCCGATCCACTGCTTGGTGCCCCACTTTGCGCACCGCTGCATCCTGCCGCACTTTTGTCAAGAATGCTGCAGCGACTATCCTGCTTGCGCCTAAAGGAGGTTCCCCCATGGAGGTGCAAAACGACGCCCATTTCCGGATAACTGGTTCGTAGAGCCGCCACATACTTGCCGCTCGGGTTAGATGTGCACTCTCGACCATAGCGTCCACCAGGGCGACTAGCTGCAGGTGTTGCATCAGTATGCTGCCGTTCAGCGTCTCCCACACTCCTGCCGGTAGTCAGCGATGAATTGGGACCGGAACCGCACAGTCGCGCGAAAAATCCACGTTAAGAGCTAGCACACCCCAGTTCGTGAGATGACCCTCGCCTTGGCGATCTAGGAACAAATCCGGGCGCCTCGGCAGCACCCAACATCCCCATACAAATGATCGAAAAACAAACTCGTTTTCGATGAGTGCTGCCACCAAATGGCCCCCGGCCAAAAAGGTGCAATTAGTGTCATGGAGGTGCGACATAGCGCTGCGTATGCCAAGACCCGGCTCATCACTGCGAAAGGTGGGTTACACCATGTTCTCTGAGGCCACGGCAACGAAAACGCATTAACACCCAAAGTACCCGGAGTGTGAAAAAACGTATAGTATGGTTGAAGCTGGTAATTGTGATCAGATGCAAACAGGTCAACCTAAGGTCCCCACTCTTGATTGATGGAATCAAACACCTCTGGATGCAACTTCCAGTCACACGCATCGTCCCTTTTGGACAGATCGTCCGCCAGGCCATTTTGCTCTCTCGGAATCCACGTGGTGACGAGGTTGATGTTATGCTCGACGCAATACCAAAACACCTGGAAGCACATTGACTGGATAGCGTCGGACATGGAGCCTCCCTTACACAATGCATTATCTGCGACCTGGCTGTCGGTATGGAGCAAAACCCGTTGATTCACTAATTGGCCATCCTTATTAATGCTTTTCAGCACGTTTAACACGGCATTCAGCTCGAGATAACCGGACGATAAGCCCCGAGTGTCTATTAACCAAGGGCCTGCCGCTTTCGGTTGTGACGGTAAGTCCACCCAACTGCCCCAACCGCTAAATGACACTGTGCACTGACGGGTACTGGCACCCGCTGTGTCCGTGAAGACTTTTATCGTATGCATGAAAGACGGACGCCAGATTGGCCTTCGGCCATCGTACCGCATGTATGGGGATGTTGGGTGCTGCCGAGGCGCCCGGATTCGTTCCTAGATCGCCAAGGCGAGGGTCATCTCACGAACTGGGGTGTGCTACCTCTTAACGTGGGTTTTTTGCGCGACTGTCCGTACGCGGTTCGGGTCCCAATTCATCGCTGACTACTGGCAGGGGAGGACATCAAGACCCTAGTGTGGGAGATGCTGAACGGCAGCATACTGACACAACACCCGCAGCTAGTCACCCTGGTGGACGCTATGGTTGAGAGTGCACATCTAACCCAAGCAGCAAGTACGTGGCGGCTGTACGAACCAGTTATCCGGAAATGGGCATCGTTTTGCACCTCCATGGGGGAACCTCCTTTAGGCGCAAGCGGGATAGTCGCTGCAGCATTCTTGACAAAAGAGTGACAGGATGCAAAGTGGGGCACCAAGCAGTGGATCGGGCCAGCACGGCGGTGTCCGCTTTCACGAGCTGGCAGGTTTGCCTACCCCATGCATACATCCCTTGTGTGCCGGAGTCCGGGAAGTTGCCTGTCGGACGGAGTCCGGGAAGTCGCCCGTCGGACGCTGTCGGCAAACCCCAGGAACTTAGACGTCGCAACCCCGACGGAAGTGTCACAACTGGTGGAATACCATATCTGCGAAGGTGTGCCCTTGCTCACTAGAATGGTCGTCACAGGCACAGTGCTCGCGTTCTGCGGTTTGCTCCGCTTTGACAATCTAAGCCACATGCTGGTGCATACTGACCTGCTTCGCGTCTACGGAGATCACATGGAGATCTTTTTATTCAAAAGCAAGACCGACCAGCACTGCAAGGGAGCCTTTGTGACTATCGGCAGAATCGGCAGGCCATGCTGCCCGGTGCTTCTTTTGGAGCAGCTGCTGGAAGCAGGTCACTACCAGCGGACACCATGCACGTGGGTGCGGTGCAACGGAGTTGAAGCTGATGCAGAGGATGTCGGCCCATTGCTGCATGCTGTCAACGTCCGGCGCAACTGCCTAGAGGAGGTCGTGGCGGCACTCCCGTCTACGGTCGAGGCTATGCCTTATCACAAGTTCCACGACACGCTCCGGACGTTATGCGTGGAGGCAGGCATGTGGTGCGACTTGTGCCCGCACTCCCTACACTGTGGGGGCGCCACGGCCCTCGTGCAAGGCGGCGCTGACCGGGCAGAAGTGCAAAAGCTGGGGCGGTGGAAAAGTAACACCGTTTTCGAGTTTGCATATGTCCGTGAGGACAGGGCGCGGTGGTGAGCAGTGACGGCACGCATCCCGCTAGGGTACATTCCCCGTAGCACCTAGACAGTCGGTTGCTTTCAAGAGTCCGGTGGTTGAGTGCCTAAGTGTCACGGCCGGCCACTGGTCCAACTTGAAATCATCGGTCATTAGTGGGGAGGGTGCAGGGGGTTAAGCTGATCAGCAGGGAAAACCGAGGGGATACTAAGCCGATCAGCGGGGCAGTGTAATCGAGGTGCAAGCCACGGTTCGGAGTGGTGGTCGATGCAACTACGGTGGTAGATAGGCAGCACGGTGGCAGCGTTGGTTGGGGCCAGACCCGGTGGCATCGCTGCTGTGGTCCGTTTAGTGTTAACACAGTGTAACAATGAGGACAAGAAGCGTAGACTTCTCGTTGCGAGAAGGCGGGTTCTTGGACGAAGATGTTACTCGTTGTACTTGTCGTACTGGCTTCAGTATGGATATTACACTGAACTTCGTTCTGTTCCGGCTATTCGCCGTATCGTGACCTTAGGTTCATACGATCATGGCCTACTCCATACGAGCAATTTCTTTCGGTCCGAGTTCCGGGCTGGAAGACAACGGGTTGATTCAGACGTTTGAAATGAAACGCGATCAGCCCGAAACAGGCCGCGGACCACGTCCTGCTTAGCAGCGTCGCTGACCCTTTTAACTTTAACAAGTGTGTCCAACACCTGGCCCGCAATAAAACACCGGGGCCCGATGGGATACCTAACGAGCTACTGAGAGCATTGCCCACTGCCTTACAGTCCACCATCCACGACCTCCTGAAAGTCATGTGGGCCCAGGCCCGCACGCCAAAGCAATGGACTGAATCCGTTACGGTCCTTCTACCAAAAGCAGGAGATGCGCTCCTCCTGAACAACAAGCGACCCATTGCCCTCGCCAACACTCTTTATAAGTTATGGACTAGCCTCGTCACAGTGTCCATCGGGGACGTCGCTCCCGAACTCGCGTTGTTTAGCGAGGCGCAAGAAGGGTTCCTCCGGTACAGAAACACGGAACGGCAAATCCAAAACCTGCTCCACGTCATTGAGGATGCTGGGCTCACACGCAAAGATCTCTACCTGCTATACGTCGACTTCTCCTCGGCATTCAACACCATCAACCACGACCTGCTGCTACAGATCATGTACGACCTAGGGCTACCCGAGGACCTCATCTATGTCGTACGGGACCTGTACAGCCAAGCGCGGACCACTATACGGACAGAACACGGCCACACAGCGCCAATAATGATCGAACGAGGCACAGTACAGGGGGACACGCTCTCGCCGGTGCTATTCATTATTTTCCTCGAACCACTCCTCCGATGGCTCCACGCTGGCGGACGAGGGTACAAATACGGC